GTACTGGGTTAATTTTTTTTTTTAAATCCACCTTTCTTTAGTTTGTAAAATGCAGTTCCCGGAAAAGCTAAAGTTATATGAGCCCACCTGGCTCCCCACAGTATGCCTGTCCCCAGTGCTGTCCTTGGGCTAGCGCCCTTAATGGGCATGCTCACCAATGGATTCCTACAGACAGTCTCCACCGTCTTCAGAAATTACCATTCTCTCAGTTGATAGGAAATCGATGTCAATAACTCAGCCAGGCTGGGTTGTGGGAAAGCATACCACGGCTTGGCTAATTCGCCCTTTCGTCGTTGGCAAATATAAAAGAGGGAGCCCAACCTGGTCCAAACAGTGCCTTGGAATGAGATCATCTTCGGATCCACAGGCTGAATGGGTCCTGGCCGATACCAAGGTGCTGAGCTGAGGAACCTACTCTGGGAATGCTGTTGTAAATGCTGTCCCCCAGCCTTAGGGGGACAGTCCCTGCAGCACGTGATAACCACCCAGGGCCACAGGTCACGGAGGAGTACGAGAAAGGAGTAGCATTTACCGAGCCTTGTCTTAGCAACCTGCACAGGATGGATGGCTTATTTTGATTAAACTGCTTTTTGGTACTCAGGTGAAATACACTATCCTGAGCATTAGGAAGCCTTCTCATCTATTCTTTCCAACAATCCCAGGCAGTATGATCATTGCCCCCCTGACCTTGCAGATAAGAACAGGAAGGCTTAGAGAGTTCAATGATTCACCCAAGTCACACAGTTGGTAAGAACAGAGGTGAGAGAAGAGCCTAGATCTGCCCGATTCTGAACTCTGGGCCTTTCCCGCTCCGGCATAAGCAATAATGTGGGTGCGGTGAGGGACTGTGCGCTCTGCTGGGACCCAGGCCTTGGAGATCTGCTGAGGCTAAGGCTGCACGAACACCCACGGGAGGCACACAGGTTTGCATATAATTTCCCGTTAAAATCTTCCCAGCCTGGAAACCCCATGCCCTCCACTCCTGAATTCACTTCCATCCTCATCCCAGAACCACCTGCCTTGAACCAGGGGAAGGAGGTGAGCCAAAGGGAAAGCTTCCCTTACTCACTGCCTGAGGATTCCAACCGCTCAGAGAGCGGACAAGAAAGGAGCCAGGGCCTGGGAGTGACCGGAAATGACAACCCACCAAGGAGCCAAGAAGAAGGAGCCAGTGACTCCAGGACATCCGGCCGCTTCCCTTGTTTGCAGGGCCCTTCCTGGAAACGTGTGTTTCCCGGAGCCCGCTAGCCACCCTCACAGAAGGAAGAGCCAGGGGAGGCGGGAAGCAGGGCAGGGCAGGTGTCCTGCCCCACAGCAGGGCTCTCCCCATCCCCATCTCAGAAGCAAGCAGGCTGCACCTGAAATCGGATCAGAGGGGCCTCGATTGGTTTCACCTCACCTCTCCTAAGAGCTTGGCGCTCGGTGGTGGTGTGGGGAGTAAAGTGACATTCTGGGTCCCGGCTCCCCACAGAGCGGGCTGGTTCCCGGGTTACATGCTGGCTCACCACACCGGGAAGCTCCTAGTGCCTCCGTTTCCTCATTAGCTTTGGAGCAACCGCTAACATCATGGACGGCCGAGAGTGACCATGCGGGTGA